TCCCTGGAGGCACCCCATTCCATAAGCCACCCTCTACCTTAAGGAACTCAGCTTTACTTGTTCTAAAGTAAAGAACAAGTGGGTTCGGAACATATGGGCTTGAAAGTTCACTGCTGTGTTTCATGCTCTGGTTCTTGATTCTTCTGTGATTTCCCCTGGTGTTGTGACAGCTGTTTCCTGGATCAAGGAGGTTCAGCATGCAAGTATCTCTGAGCCCAAAGGATGCACTCCACTCCTAGCTTCTCTGTCTTGCAGGTTGTGAAATCTTCTTTCCTGCTTCTGAGGTGGTTCATTTAAAACCCAACAGCATAGCCTTTACAATAAACTGTTAACCATCAATCACAATGTAATCCTATCAGTGTCTTCCCCAACTTTCTCTTTCCTAGACCCATCAGAAGACAGTAGTTTGGTAGGATTAACAAAAGCTATGGCAAAGAAGAGCCATATTTTAAACGAGCTGTGCTGAAAGCACAGAACGGAGCTGAGGAATGCTTGCATAGTGATGACATAACAAAAGCAGATTTATAACGCGAATGTAAGCATTAAGGTGCTCTGAAATTATAGAGTAATTGGATGTGGGTGGTGTCATATTTGGGAAGTTGTCTAAAGCTGAGTTGAGCTAGTTTTTAAAGAAGGAACTGACAGAGAAGAATTATTATACAAATAAGAGGTAAATAGGGAAGAATGCATTTTTGGATAAAGGAGGCACAATTATTTTGGTTTGATTTAAGGAGCATGATAAAAGTGAGAATTGTAGTCTGTGAGCCGAAGAATATAAGATTTGAAGTAGGTCTTTGAAGATTAGACCGAGGAAGTTAGCTATTTGGTAAACAGGTAGGACTTTATGGTCTCATGTAAAATAAACTGAAATGAGATTACTGTGTTCTAGAGTAATTGTTCTGGTGGCTAAATTTAGAACAGTTGGGAAGCCAGGCATGGAGGCCTACTGAGGGAGACAGGTGTAGAAAAATATCACAAGAACTGGCAAGTGTATACAGTGATTAAATAGAAGCATGCAGAGATGTTAACGCTGGGCTCTGGTGTTTATAAAAGAAGGAACAAATCTGTAATGAAGTAGAAGGTGCCCCATATTTATTTCTGTTGCCATCGGTGATCGCTTAGATTCATGAGCAAGTGAGGGGAGCAGAAGGGAGAGAATGTCACAGTCAACTGCTAGCCTGGGGTCACTGCTCAAGGTCAGTTTTAATGCTTAGTATTCCCTCGTTTGTCAACCACCTATCACATTCTTGATTTTGCCTTAGAGTATTGAGCAACTTTACTACATTGTAAAGTAACAGCAGAATACACAGTACAGATGTAATACACATAGTTTTACTACCAGTATAGCTAGTTTTGCAGGCCCTCCCATTTTCTCCATCCTCCTATTCCCCCAGTTTCCTCTTACATTTTGAGGAAAAATCACAGCTTTTTATTGTTCAACTCAGCTACAATTCAGGGCCAAAGTAGGTCTCCATGTAGA